CTTCCCTTCCCCTCCCCCCTCACCCTTTCATTTTGCCTCTCCATTGATTTTTATTACCAGTGTTTCTCTGCTGTACCTAAATCTGTGTCAAAGCAGCCCCCTGCTCCCGTATGCAGATTTTATGTTTTATTATGTGAGAGATAAAACACAGTAATAATAAAACAAGAGAAGCGATGTCAGGGAGGTGTTGAGACACAGCTTTACGCTGCGCTTGCGCTGCACTATTATCGCTCCTGCATTTGAAAATGTAGCACTAACCTCCGTGAAAGAGACTGAAGCAGGGTGACTCATCCAGAATGCAAAGTCATATTCACATGTTCCTTGAACAGTGGCTGCAGCAATGTAAAACAAAAATTGCAGGGGTGTTTCTTTGATTTGGTACAGCTGTTACGCAGCGGTGACATGGAACGCCTAGATGTAATTTAAACCAAAACTTTTAGAAGGAAAAGTAACTCCCCTTGGTGGACTGGTGAGCATGATTCTGGCACTGTCCTGTTGGAAACGTCCAGTAAAAATCGGTGGGGATCAAATATTTATCATATCCCTAATGACTTTTTAAGCTTCTGTGGGATGTCTAGGTGATTTAAAAAAAACAACACTACTGAAAAACAAAAGAAAGTACTGAAAAAGAAAAGACAGTGATCATCCACTGCCAGAACACAGAGAGCAACCACCCTTTTACATCGCTGAGTGATGGGGTTGGGAGCAGAGTATCAGGTGGAGGCTGCACTTTGTACAGTAGGACTAAAATAGGTGCACGGTGAAGAGGCTTTGGCATGCGATGTTTTTTCTAGCCCCTGTTTTGCTTTCTTTTCAGGCTCATAGCTTCAATGAAATCTATAGTATTTTTATAACTGTTTTTTTGTCTACAGTGAAATAGTGTATCTAATATGGCAGAGCTTAATGGGTATTAAAATGTCCAAGGAATTCTTTTCTCCTATTTATTTTGCTGTGTCACTTAACAGAGAATATAAAGGGTCTCCTTGAGTTGTTTTTGCGGCATTAATAGGCTTGATGCGAGAGTGGTCCCTGAAATGTTTTGCATGCAAGCGCAAGTTTCTTCCATAATAGAGAAAATGTGCAGATTTTCTTCCTTTGTGGACTTCAGTTTGATTTTTGACACTTTGACCTGTCTTGGAGCCTGAATCCAAAATGCAATTTTTGTCCCACTTTTTTTTTTTTTAATAGTTCCTTCTAGGTGTGTTTATGTCTATAAATCACTATATCTAATTTCCTTTAACTGACACATTTGAAATGAAACTACTCTTTTTCTTTGGCTTCTACTGCAGTTTCTCCAAGCCAGGGGTGGTGCAGAAGAGCAACAGTGCATAGGAATGGCAAAGCTTCCCAGCTGGTCATGGAGCAGGACTGCTTCTGTGTTGCTGACTGCCTCAGATATAGGTCATTTAGCTGGGGGGGATGGCTAAGGCTTATGAAAACAGAGCCTCCACAGTTAGTTTCCTAAGTTCAGCCTGGTATGTCTTGTAAATACTGGATGTGGAAGACAGTACTTCAACTCATGGGTTCTTCAAACTGATTATTTTTCATTTTGATTCCTCCTTCAGATTGTCCTGGAGAACAGCAGTCGAGAAGACAAGCATGAGTGCCCATTTGGCCGAAGTAGCATTGAGCTGACAAAGATGCTGTGTGAAATACTGAAAGTAGGAGAGCTACGTAAGTTGACCTGTTTGACCTCTAAGAACCATGGAGTGAGTTCAGTGATACCTAAAGTTTATTTCAATGCAAGAACTTTCTTCTGAGAATCATTTCTCATTACGCTTACATAATTGAACACTGGCACTCAAAATTACTGTCTCTTTTTCTGTCTCTCTTATTAGTTTGTGGTCATACCAGGGATGAGGGTGGAGTAGGGGAAATGGGCACCCAGTCTTTGACTCTTTTCTATATGAAGCAGGGCAGCTGCATCATTTCTAGAGAGGTCAGTTCATTTCCCATTATATTTTGTGTAGGAGACTTCATCATCTTACCATTCCACAGGCTTCTCCATAGGCTGGTTTTATGAGTATCGTAGTCATTCTTTGTGGGATTACTCATCTAAACTGACACATCCCATTTTCTCTTGGATATCTAAAGCTCTATCTAAATACCAGATGATATATATAAAATTTACTATAACAGTGTGATATGAAAGATTGTATTTTAATGCAGAGTAAACAAGCTGTCTTTGGCTTCGATTACAGTCCCTTAACGAATTGTTAAATACTATCAAACAGAAAAGCATGTCTGGATCTTCATTAGTCTAGCGTGTTGGTGTTTATCAATATATATAAACTTCAGTTACCCATCAGTAATGTTTTGGATTCAGCTGCAGCCTGTTTTGGCAAGCACTAGCATGAGCTTCATTTTCTTGTTGCACAAGTAAGGGGCACAACTGAGATGCTGCGTTTCCTTCAGAGGCATTTTCTTTTTGAATTTTTTTCCTAATAAAGATTTTTCTTTTACCTTTACACCCAAGGCCACGAAATGTAATGAGAGAAGAGCAATGCAAAAGGCAGCAAGAAAGCCTATAGGTATCACTGGTTCTTGTTCCTACCAGCTCTGCAACAGACATCAAAAGCTCTGTTTTAAAAGTATGATTTGACTGTTAATACATCTAAAGCTTTTAAATGCAGTGTCTTCAGAGAATTTATTGACCAAAGGAAAAAATCTATCTCTGTGCAATGGGCCAAGAGAAAACCTGTGCATTGCTTGCAGCTTCCAAATCGACACTCAGTATTTGACAGACCCAGACAAATGATGTTTACTTTTGAGTGCTGTCCTAGGTAAACCAGAGTTATCAAGGAGGACATTCACTATGTCTATAAATAATCAGTTCAGCAACTATTTTAGGTGTATGGTAATGGTATGTGTTGTGTAAGGTTCAGACTGTAGTAGATATGTCTCCTTTAAAATGACCTTACTGCTGCGGTTGCAGTGTCTAATGCCAAATCATACTTGATAGGTCTGTCTGGATTTTTCTGATGGTAAATGTATGAGGGACATATCATCTCAAAAAAGCTGTAAGCCTATTTGAATTAAGTGGTAAAGATCAATTTTATTTTTACAAATGCACAGAAAAATATCTGAAATCCAAAGTACGGCTTTGTACATGGTGTTTTTGTGTATGTCCCATCACTCCATGGGGCTTGCACTGCGCTTTGCTGCTGAGAAAGGTGATTGACCTAGAGGTTACCCAGGTGTCTCAGATGTCTTCCTTACTGTGTCATAAAAGTAATTCAATAAATAAACCTCTTTTTTGCCACAGACATGTTTATTGTCCACATGCAGGATCTACTACTATGTGGATGATTTTCTATGTATGGTACTGGTTATTCCAGTTGCTTCTAACTTCTGCAGATAGCTCCTTTCATGTTTTAACTTTTTTGTATCTGGTCTTCTAAAGTGGGAACTTTCATTCTCTTATGAATAACATAAGAGAATTTGGGGTGGGGGCTCATTTACCATTTGAAGAAAATACGAAAGGAGAGCTATTTTTGCTATCTTAGCTTTAGAAAGAAAATTGTCTTTCTTGTTTGTTTTTTCGTTTTTTTTTGGTTAGTGGGTTTCGGCTTTTTTGGGTTAGAGTAGCTCTATGGTTTGGAATCATGGGGTTAGAAAGAAAACTGCAAGTTACTGGGATGCTAGGTGTGACGTTGTACAGAGAAGATGTGATGCTGAGAAGTGCACTGGTGCTTCTGTTGAAAGAAACCAGATGTAGCACAACTGACTTCCGTGAAGTCATGATAATCTACACCCACAGAGCATCTGTCTCTGGATGCGGCAATGAGATTGCGCTGTAGCCTTATATTCACAGGGGACAGAGCTAAGGTTACCGCTTACTCATCTTGACGATTCACCTGTTCACCAGTATGTTTCCGTAATGGTTTTGTTTATGTGGAATTCTTAATTGTCATTTAAAAAGGCTGTAATAAAATACATCTTTAAATTAAAGTACAGAAAACAGATTTCTTGAAAATGGCTGTGACAGATGTGCATCTTAAATGATCTGTGATCAGCTGTATATTTGGTTGAGAAGTGCAAACTAGAACTGACATCTTAGGAAAATGTACATTCAGGTTTATTCTTCACTTGAAAATAAATACTGTATTGCTGAATAGGATTGGACATCTTAAAAATCAGTAGTTACAGTTTAGTGCAAAGGTGTCCCTGGTAGTTTGTATGTGTTAGGTTTCAAAATATGTATTTAGGCTGCCAGTGTTTCTTTAGAAATTCAAAATTAGTCATTATTGCTTTGGAACATAGAACTTTTTTCTAACAGTTTCTGGATTGTATAATGTAAAAGCCACAATAAATTACCTTTTGCTCATGAAATATTCAGCAGTAGAAACTTTCTTAAAGTGCAGAGTAGATAAAAGCTGCTAGATTGTTCATTATTTATGAAGAGCACTTTAATGCTGATTATATTCCCCTTGCTCCACCATACTCAATACCTTCAGGCAACAAGAAGACATTTTACCATTTCCTTTTGGTCCTTTCAAGCATGCATTCATCCCAGCAAGAACTCACAGAAAAGTTCTAAAGGCATACCACCTCTCCTGCTTTTGTATTTCCCCTAATCCAGGTGATGGACTTCTTCATTCTTTGACTTTGGTTCCAAAATGTTCATGACTTGGAAATTAATCGCTTCTTCAGCAAAGCATTTAAGCATATGTTTAAATCTTGTGTAAGTAAAGGAAGCTCAAGTGACTTGAGCATATGGTAACTGCTTTACAGAGGTGGACTTGCAGAGTAGAGGAGCTAAAGCTTAAGAGAAAGGTTGGTGTAGTGTTTAAGTAACAGGGAAGTTAAAATGAAACACATCCATAAGCCTCTTCAATGAAATCTCTGAATCAGGAAAGAGTGGGATATTTGACTATAAATCTTTTAATCTTGTGCTACTGTTGCTGTTAAAAAGGCATTGAAGAGAATGGCTTTACTGAGTCCTTGCCAAGGCACTCATCTTGGCAAACACTATGGTAATTCTGATTTCTCCAGCCATAGCTTCCTTTGCGTATCTTGGCTAGCAAGCTGATTTTCTTCTTGTCCTCTGTGCCTTGGAGCTGACATCAGACAGTAACACTTACCCCAATGATCAGTCCTCCTCCTCCTCCTGTAGGGTAAGGCATTTTGGCACTCCACACCCCTGGTACACTGAGAAGTTTACAAAGAGCAGGGAAGATCAGGCTATTTGTATTTCCTCCTTAGCAGCTATGAAAGCGAAGGTAACTTCGATCTTCCCTCTTCTTCCTTCAAGTTTCAGTACATGACATATACGCTCAGGTAACCTGCGTAACAGACTCCTGGCTTTGCTAGGAGGCAGTAACATCACAGATAAATATAAAAATTAAAATCATGATCTAAAAGACCTTCCAGAACTGGAACTGGTGAATTTAGTGGGAAATTTTGAGTTTGCTAAAACCTAGTATTTGTCATAAAAAAGAATTTGAGCTCAGCATTTTGCATAAGTAGCCTTCATCCTCTCTGATCTGTGCCTACAGTGTACCTCTGCTTCGCAGCTGATGCTGTTCCTACCCTCAAAAGCCCTTCAAACTTTCATTCCTGGTAGAAAGTGATACTTGACGGCATTACCCGATTTATGCAGAACTGGTACAGCCTCCCAGGCTTGTTGTCTTATTTCCATACAGGTTCAACTGAAATTGTTTTGTGTTGAAGCTGTTGAGGAAGCTTGTAGCTGATAGATGAACAATGAATGTGCTGTGTGCACTGAGCAGAGACACCGGAGCTGCAGTCTAAAGGTGTTCATAAGCCAATATTGTTGTGTGCCTGAAGTTATTCTAGTTAAGGCATGTCAGACTTTGAGTATTTTTCAGTGTATTTTTGAGCAGGACACAGATGTTGTACTGCCAGTGTTCCCATGTGATTGTTTTGATGGGTGGTGCTTAGGGGCTTTTGCAAAAATCTGCACTCAAGCTTTACAACAGACCACAGGGGTATATGCCACATGTCAGATATATGCATTGTCCTAAAGCTTCTGTCAGATAAACAACTTCTTCACAGGGTTTTCTTGCTTTTCTATTGTGGGGAATTTAATTGTCATGGGGTGTTGTTAGATTTGATCAATCTTTTGGATTTTTTTTCCTTGAAAGAGAAGAGCTAAATGCTAATGTATTATAATGCCCTTGGTGCTGTTTGTACATGTTCTTGCTATAGATTTCTCATTGCAATTATTGCCCAGGCTGCAGAATTAAAGTGGTCTAGAAATTCTTATATTATTGTCCTTTTATCAAATAGAATGTGCTGGGCATTAGAAGGTATACAGTGATATTCATGGTTCTGCCCACTGAGATGAAGGTAATCAAATCTCATGCTTCAAGGAGTAAGCTGATTGCTGCAAGGGTCAGGAAGCTTTTTTTCATCTTTGCACAATTTTTCCTCTGCATTGCACAATCCATAGTGTGCAGTTTAGTTTATTTTCTGTTGGTCTTTCCCTGAAAGCATATTGGTTGCTGCAGGATCAGCATTCCAGACCTGAGGGCTCGCCTGGTTTGATTTTCCTTTTGCTACAGCAAATCCAATATTTTTATAACTGAATGTCATATTTTAAAAATTTTTCCCCTTGCTTGAAAGCTAATTGCCTTTTCACCCTTCTCTTCCTCCTCCTTCTCTTAAATTTAAACAGAATAAAGCCCCAGAAATAGTAAATAAAATTAGAC